GTACCCACTTGGATCTCAACAGGCAGGCAGCAACAGCTAGCTGCATCTTATCGTGAGGGGATGGGGACACATCAGTTGGTGGAAGTTTTACTTGTCATCTTTCTCAGGAAGCAGTTAGTCTGTTCTGAGAAAGATTCCAGGGTCGGACACAGCACCGGGGAAGATGATTGTCTGATCACATAACATGACACATGAGCAGGTCCTGAGCTGGCTGATGCAGCATGGAGGCTTAAGTCACCGTGTTCCTGCAGTGCAGCAACCACCAGTGACATGCGTGCCAAGCAATCACGGAGTGCCTATGCGTCTCTGACATAACCTAGGGAAGCAGGTTTACAACCATATCAAACACGCTAGCAGTATGATGTAAACACAGTTGAGAGTATGGATGGCAATAAAAGCAAAACAAAACAAAGGAATCCCATACAGAACGAAATAAGAACAGGTTCACACTGAAACTCTGCTACTATACAACTAGTGTGACAGCTTTATGAAGAAATGGATTTTTTCCACACCTTTACTAGACTATTAGACTAAGCTTATCAGTAAAAGTTGAAACATTTTCAGCAGGCAGGACAGCAGTCAGACAAGCATGTGCTTGTTCAAGTCTTTCACGTTGTAGATGTACAAGTTGAAGTCTCAAAAGCAAACTTTATTATACAGAAAGGAGAAAGCTGCATCCACAGGTGGCTTTAGTTGTCTGGTTTCCTCCAACTAACAACATACTGTATAAGCTGAGGGGCTCTAACTCCACCTCCTGTAGAGTCGCAGTCATGTCACATTAAAAACCCATTAGATGAAGATGAAAAAAATCCTTACTTGAACAGCTGTGTCCTGCTTGTATGTCCAGACAACATGCTATTTAAGTAAATAACTATATGGTTTAAACAAGAAGTGCATTCGTTTAAATATGAGGCCCAGCAATAAATGAGCTCTGCAGCTCAGGGATACAATTCAAAACAGGGCTTGAGGCAACCTTTCACACACCCTCCTTTCCTTCCCCTCAGTGAACAACAAACGAACACAAAAAAGATGACACTCACTTGCTGGCAAACCCAACTAATAAGGCACAGACTGAATGAGCAGCAAGAGAAAAGTCTCTATGATTCAGCACTGGCGCTCTCAGTTCAAACTGGGATGTGCAGATAGTACAAACAGGCAGAAGCCACGCTGTCACTCCCTTCTCCTAACCAATATGCAATTGCATGCAACCAGTCACCTTCACAAGCTCAAAGTTTCCTTAACAAGCTAATGATAAAAAATAGTTTAATTTCCATCAGAAAAAGATATTTCTATATCTCTCCCTTCTCTGGCGATCTTCATGCAACCAGTCATGAGATCAATAATATTACTGAATATTAAACTGTCATCAGCTTGGAAATATCTCCATAAGCAGAAGCCTCAATGAGTTTAGATATTGCCCAAGGGGAGCGGGAAAAGAAAAAAAAAAAAAAAGTAGTATCCTACTAACCCAGCCTTGCAATAGAACAGTCAAAGCACAAAAGCAGTATATGAGTAAGTAACTAAAAAACAAGTGAAAGAAGAAATTAGACCACCCAAAACCAGCAAGATTAATCTAGTGCGTCCAGGAGGAGAATAATTCCAGAGCTCTGTTCCATTTGCCACCTTGCTTTATCGGGAGGTTCTAGGCATGGTTTTTGCCCCCGGCCTGAATTTCCATTCTTCTTCACAACTCAAAGGGTCTCAGGTAGACTGCTGCTAGAAATACCCTAATCCAGTGTCTTCTGTAAATGAGACCACTACTGACTATGGGCAGACACAGTAAAAGAGACTGCTTGTTGCTGTTTTCCAGCTGCTTAGGGCTTCTATAACATCCAGTACTGCTTGAAATACAGCAACTGTAGTAAAGACACAGGCATTACCCCAAGCATTTCAGGAACAGGGCAGACAGTGCTCCTCTCTGCCTTCACAATGGGCTGATACCATTCCAGTTTGACACAGATGAGTGACATCAATATCCAGGAGAAAGTTAAGTATTTTTTGAGCTATCTAGCTGTATTTAACTGAACACCACAGGTAATACAAACACAAAATTTCTTAGATTCTAGCCATTCATTTTTCAGCATGCAAATAACTCATGTGACTTTTTAAAAAAAACCTCAGTAACACAGGAAAACAAGTATTTCTAATTTCTGCTATATCCCATCTACTTAGGAAGCAGAAGAACAGAATTATAGCAATTACACTACTATACTATTCCACCCACATTTAGGACACGAAAAATGTAACTGAAACTCGGGGGCTGGGTTTGAGGCACACTTTTCAAAGTCTGGATCTCCAGCATACGCGCTAGATACGGACTTTCAGAAAATATAACTTCAGTTTAAAGGAAGTGGAAAAACTCCACAGTATAGATGCTGCTACTGTTTTAGTTACTCAGTTACCCTGATTTACCCCAACATCTTTCTTCATGTTTGCCACCAACTCCGCTATGTTCACCTCAAGCCTGAAGCCCTTTCATTGTACCCATCCTATGCTTTGCCAGGACTGAACGTGGCAGATGCTGGTTGTAGAGGAGCAACTCTTCCTTGTTTCACACGGGCCTGTGTATTTCTCCACTCTCATCTCTCATCCTACATACTGCGGTGAAAGAGTTACTTAATTCAGCCGACTCTGTATTGTCCATTAAACAGAAACCGTATGAAGGAGTCAGGATTGCCCTCCTGCTTCAGAACACCCATCTTCAAAGGTGATGATTTCACAAAGAGTAGTTCTACAGTTATTTAATGCTTCATTAAACCTCTTCTTTTGTAAAAAACCACAGTGAGTCCTTGTTGTGGTTACAGAGGTCTCAATGGCATGAGCAGAAGCTGCTGAGAGCCGCTCAGGTCCTCACTGAGAAGCGGGCAGGGCTCTCCCTATTCCCAAGGCAGCTTCACAACCCAAAGCCTCCGAACCCTCTTGCAGAACTGGGGCTGGCAGGAGGCCTTGCCTGACAGGAGCCGAAGCTCTACAGTAACCCAGCTGCCTGCCATGCAGCTTCCTTACAGCTCTTCGGCAAGTACAAATATAGAAACATACAGAGCCCCAAAAAAGCAGGAGGCCTGAAAGCATAGGAAGCCAATACAAAGGTGGGAGGCTCACATAGCAGGGGCTTGTAGAGAGTTGGGGTGGCCCAAAATCGCTGGAAGCCTCCCCAAAAAATTGAGAGACTCTGAGACTCAAAGCCCTCAGAGGCTGAGAACAGAGTCAATGAAGGCCAAAGCGAGTAGGAGGCTCGCAAGTAGAGCCCCTAGGTGAATGAGGCTCCAAAAAAGGGGAGGCCTCCATAAAAGTGGGAGTCACAGAAAGTCTTAGCCCATGGAGGGTGAGGCCCAAAAAGTCAGGGAGCCCCAGAAGCATGGGAGACAAAGCGAGGGGGAGCTGGAAAGGGAGGGAGGCCTGAAGCAGTGGGAGGCTCAGAGGATAAGGTCCCACAGAGGTGGGGACCTAGGGAGTCAGGGAGGCCCATAGCAGGTGGGAGGCTCAAAGGAGAGTCAGAGAGGCAGAATGGAGTGGGAAGGCCAGAGAATCCCAGCCCGTGGGAGGGGAGGCCCAGAGAGCGGAGACCCATGGAGAAGAGGAGGCCCAGCCCCACAGACTGGAGGCCCCCAGCAAGGGTGTGCGCATATGTATCTACATACTTATACACCTAAGTATGTACAGACATGCACACAGATACAGTGTCCATGTGAGCACACATACCGCTACTGATGGTTGAACTTGATGATCTTAAGGTCTTTTCTAACCTTAATGATTCTATAATTCCTGAATTCAGGCAAAATCCAACCACAAGACAAGCAAGTAAAGAAAATCTTTTCGACCACTCAGCTTAAAAACTCCAGCTCAGCTGTTTCCAAGATTCACAGTGTCAGCACGGCTGCTGGAGATATCCACCGTCACCTGCTCCTTTCCCTTTTCCAGCCATCCTCTGCGCTGCCTGCTCACTGAATACACCTCTCCTAAAACATGTGGCTATGGCCCCCTCGTGCCTCAGGACACACTCCTCCGTGACCACCCTGCATGTTTCTCTTGGATATCAGTACGCATCAGGATTCTTTTTAGTGCTGGGTTGTTTTTTTTTAATGCAGGTACTTACTCCCAGCAATCAATTCAGTTTAAAGGAGCTTAATTTTCATGACTATCCCTAATGAAAGGCTGTGGTTGCTATTAACAATTTAAAGAAATCCAGATTTATCCATATTTTTTAAAAAGCACTTAGAACAAAAACTACAAAAAGATAGAATTTTCTGAAGTATTCTTATGCTATAACCCTTTTCACCACATCACACTATACAGTCTAAGCATACCGTTGCCCCACGTATGGCAGTAACAGGAAATAAATACAACACCTGAAACCAAGTCAACTATTTACACTGGATTTCCGAGTGGCTGCTAGGGCTGTACTTTCTCTTCTTATGTTTTGTGACTCTCCATAAAGCACTTCATCTTGAATGTTTAGTGTCATTCCATTGTTTCCCAAATAAACAGAAAAAAAATTCACCAAAGCAGCCAGAGTCTAACTATGGCCTAATTCACTATTTGGGAAATATGTGAAACTGCCTGCCTACACAGGAGTGTACAAAGCAAGTAAAATTGAAAATAGTATTAAAAAGAGCTGACTCTTTTTTTCATCTCTTTCAGGTATAATTATCTACTGTGTAGCTTGCACCCAGTGAACAGTAGAAAAGAAAAACAATGAACACAGAAGTATTCAGAGCAGAATGTGCTATTCTGAGTCTTCTAGTGTTGGCAAATTTATCCCCTGCCCCCAATAAATACTGAATTTGTTCTGTGTGGTGCTGATCACTTTGCTTGTACATGTGCGATTCAGCCATTTCACCCCCCATTTTTTGCCCTCCCCACCCACAAATTCTTTAGATACTGAGCAATGAGAATATCCTGTAAGTGGCTGATTGCAGGATACCTGACGTCTCACCACTGGTTCAAGGTACATTTGCAAAAACTGACTCATTTCTAGCAGATAAACATCAAGGTCTTACCTTTGCAGGTGAAGCATTTGATATGAAAGTGTCTGGCCTGAACACGGAGTACTTCACCTTTACATGGCTCCCCACATTTATGGCAGTGGATGACCGGCTTCTCAGAGGGGTGGTGAGGCTCCTGAGTATGGGCCACTGTAAAACAAAAAAATATGATTTAAACCAAACAAAAAGAGTATTTTATCCTGTAGATAAATCTGTGTTCTCAGACACTTTTCATCAAAATACAATTGTATCTGTTCACATTTTAGACTCGTCTAAAAAGTCACCACCATTTTCTTTAAATATAGCCTTTTCATAAACCAGTAGTTTAAGCCATTCACATCAACTACTACCTCTTTCCACCAAGGCTGCCATGGAAAGACAGAGAAAAATTCCTTCTGCAGTTTCAGTACCACAAAGTGTTTCAGACTGCCTAAGCTATTCTTTCCAAGAACATGAGTGTGTGTAAACTATTCAAAGAACACACAAGGCAAGAAGAACTGGGCTATTTTAATCCAAGAAAAAATACAATCCAAGCAAAATAAATGAAAGGAAAGCAATTCCAAATCATGTTTTGGGAAGCAAGATGAACCAGGCAACCTGACTTTACATGCAAATGACTATGGTAAATATAAACTACAAGTATCTCCATTTTGCTACAGCATATACCTAACACAGGGAAAGCACACCTGAAAAGACACCAGTGTTACTTGTTTCTACTGCCATTAAATCTAGCAGAAACAACTCTCTGCATGCAAATCAAGAAATGACCAAAGTGTCCACAATATAGTCAGGGAGATAAAATTCCAGGTACTGGTAAATGATTAGGTATCCCACAGCCCTGAGCTTGAGCTTGGATAGGAACAGGAAAGGTTTGTGTCAGCTTTATTGTGTATTTCACTGTCATAATAAAAGTTTCATTGCTCCACATCTGGCTTCTGTAAAAAAAATGTTTAACTTTTTCTTCAGATGTGTCTTGTGGCAGCTTGGGGCCCCAACAGAAACACACATGTGTAAGCTAGAGGAAGACTGAGTCTCAGCTGTACTGTATGAAGTGGAAAGTATCAGCCAGAATGCTCACAAACAAAACTATGGTCCTTCAAATCTCTTCCCATGTCCCATTCTAGTATTGGAAAGTTGTCCTGCTTGTAACAGTGTTTTCAAATTAGCGATGCTCATCAGAGTATTTCTGAGACAACATACTGCTCTACCCATGCCTCTGTCTTCCTACCATTCCTGTCCTGCTTTTCCTGGCCTGCAAAGGACTGAGTGCTGCTACCCCTGGAATCATCTTCATCTCAGTGTTTTCTGGAGCTCTCTTTTCCTTTCCTGATCAATTTCTGACATCTCCCCAGCCAGGATTATGCTTTTTTTCAGGTTGCTGCTTATGCAGCAACATAACAGATACCTTGCTTATGTTTACTCCACGTTTCCTCCGCTTCCTCAATCTAAGGGATTGAATCTAGGGGATAGAATCAAAATGTCTAGAGAAAAAGGCCCATCACTTCATGAAGTCCTTCAATATTACTCTACTTCAGAAATGCCTTAGTGAAGAAATGCTGCTATCATTCTGCATTGTATAGAGTAAATACAAGATTGATAATAAAAAAGCCTAACAGGTGATTAGGGGCGTAACAGCATCAAGGGTAGAGGATAACAAATATTTCAAGCAATAATTTCTGCTGTAAGTCAGCAGCTGCTATTTTGTTCTCCCCTCCCCAGCAGATCTTCAAAGAAAATGGCTGAATTCTTGTACTCAAGCTTGACGTTTTGAATACCTCCTCCTCTGGTAGCCTCATTTTAGCTATTTCCCTTGAGCAGTTATTCAGCCCATAGTGGTGAACAGAATTCAGTTGGCAATTCCAACCAGTACTTCAGCTAGCAGCTCCATTTAAATAAGAGCCCAGTGAATGCCTTGCCTTGAGTGAACCTCATCTAACAGTCTGCAACGCAATACTGTTTCTGGAGTGGAAGTTATTATTTTTCCAAACAAGACTATTAACTATTAACTTGTAACCAAGGAAACACACAGTTTACGCAATAAGAAAGGAAGAAAGAGACAAACATAGAGACAAGTGCTGGCAAATTAAATTATTATGAGGAAAATTCCCTCTCAGATCCAGGTGGCCTGAGATGGGCCTGATGCCAACTGAAGAAAAGGAAAAAGAATGGACTTTTAAAGCTCAAATGAGGAACCAGATCAAGAATTTGGACAAATGCTCCCTAGGACTGATTTGGTGCTGTGTGAAATCTATACCTGCAACATTCTGCTCTCTTAAATTCACACATGGAGGACACCCCAACATATTCTGCATGCTGGGATCCAGATCTCCTGGTATTGATCTGAAAGACAAGTTTTTGCTCTCTACTAAAGAGTAAATAAATGTTTTCAAGATTGGTCCAATGATGCAACTTCTTTCCAGTTCTGCCTTTACAGCCATTTAAATAAATACAAATACTGTTAGTCACTATTTCCAGACTGATCTCTTAAGTAAAGCTAATTATGGTGCTTGTCTTACTGGTCTCAGTTTGGCATTGTAGGTCAAGATTGAGTAATTGGACTTTTGTTCTCCTGCAAGGAATTGCTTGCAAGCTTTTTCCTTTGGCTATATGCAATACACAAAAGGCTTCTCAGTGGCAGAGGTGACCCTTTATAGTTACAAGTGAGGACAGAACAGGGAATTAAAGAAGAAGAAAAAGGAATACCTTTACAAGGAGCTTATTTAAATGTTTCTGACTGAAGTCCAGCCAGCTTACTGGACATGTAAACTGTGAGCTGCTTTGGCTCTGAAAACCTTGAGCTAGGTGCTAGGCTCATCTCCTTACAGGGGTTTCACATCTTGACACAGTAAATATTACAGGCTCTGCCTGCACCAAACCTACCCACACCAACTGCATGCTAGAGGACATCTTCTCAGGCATCACGCGCCAGCAGCAATGGTGCAATAAGGTAACCCTGTATCATGACTAAGGCAACAACAGACTCCAGCCAGTGTAACTGGTGACAGGACATTAATTTAGGATTTGGATAACCCAGGTTCCAACCCCTACTCCACAACAGGTATCTGGGCTCTTTGGATGGCATGTCCTTAACCCTAAAGGGCTAAAGCCAGACAGTGAAGTCTGAAGAACCTTAAAACTAGGTTATCTGAATGTTTTAGTTTCTCTGTGTCTTGAGTGTCCCTGACTGTAAACCAGGTGTAACAGCAGTGTTAGCCTTACCCTACTGTGAGAATAAATACAAATTACAAGGTTCTCAGGCACTAGGATGGAAAGAGTTGCATGAGCACCTAAGACAGTAAGTCAGTCCTGATGGTAATGAGATATGCCACATCTGCCATACTTCTGGAAGCAGCAAAGTGGACACTTGGAACGTGCATGAGTGCACAAACACTAACTCGTGGAGCTGCATTGCCTTTAATGAAGTTTCAAGTCCAAATATATTAACACCATGACTACCTTCCAAATTAAAAGGAATTAAAAGAACATAAATTAACAACTTTCTGAGGAAGAGATGCTACCAGAGCAACACATTCTTGGTTCAGCACTGCTGCTCACAATTGTCTTCATATCATAAAGCACATACTTTCTGCATGGGTCGTGTAATACAAACACAAGTCAAGTATTTACCAGTTCCAGTATACTGATGTGTACTGATACTTACCTACATACAAATCACGTCGGATTAAGTCAAGATGTGATTTTCTATCCATTTAGCCCAACCAGTATAACAAGGTGCACGGATCCTTTTGTGTAAGATTAAACACAATGTATCTGTTGCTCACATTGGCAAGGTGCAAACACTCACTAACACAACAGATTTAAACAAATGTAATTCCATCAAAAGTACCTGTGCTACTAACTGAACTTTTTTAAACTCTCTCTGGTTAAACTAGCGCAGTGCCTACACTTGAACAAAGGGGTGCTGGAAGCAGGTATACAGATCAAACAGATGCAACAACTTTGAATATTTAGTCTTATTTTTATTACTTCAGCACTTTTCAAGATTAACTGTGAAAGCTATAGTACCTGTAGAAGTCTAAGCTGTCACAGTCTTTACAATTTTACAGAGACTATTGATAAAAGATTATCAATAAAACTTTTTTCCAACATTTCAGGTTGCTTTATAACAGTTTTCACTTCCAATACTGATAGGCACTGCCTGAAGACTTTTTTTCCTTTGTTAATGAACATACATGAGGTAAGTACAGGCAAGCCATGTAAAGGTGTGTAAGATGAGATAGACACAGAAGAATTTTTCAGAACAAGCAGGGTTCAGACTTCCACTCTTGCTTACAAAACCAAATTAAATGAACAAATAATGAATAATTAATACTTTCGTAAGCTCATTTGGGTTTCCAATAAGACAAATCAATGTCCCATTAAATATCCAATTTGCGCAGAGTAACATGTACACTGATTGGGACAACTGGGAAGTCTGGATTACATTGTTTAATTCAGGGGGAGATTAAAAAAAAAGTTTAAAAAAAATCAATAGCACCTTCAAAAGAAGGAAGACAGTATGAGGAAGACAGTCTTTGTCACTGGAGTATTGCTTTGTGCTAACGTCGCTCCACAGACATAACACCATGACTTTTGTCATTCCTTATGTTCCCTTGTGAATGAATCATGCAATGTTGATTTCATTATATTTTGCAACTGCACTATACTGATGTACACTCAAAGCAACTCTACCAGCTTAAGAGTACTCATTACTGCATTTTATCAAAATGACTCAAAATAAATCCAGATCTGCAAAGAAAAAGAAACAATTAAGAGACAGAAAAGACCAATAACAACCCAATGTTCACACGAGAAACCCAAGGCACTTTCAGAGCAATATGAAGGAATTAATTTGCTGTGCAAAGTTTAAAACTGTCCTGTCAGTGCTTTACATAGAGCAGATCATCATAGACAGGTAGACAGGTTTAATAGCAATTACATGTTTTGCTGCCTCAGCCAGAAAAAGGACCTCAGTACTCCTACCAAACCCTTCTGAAATGGAAATTACTGCAACTACCTGAAGAGTAACAGTTGTTGAATAAAATAAAACAATGAAAATAAATACTGTAGTCTCCATTATTGAATTTTCTCCCTGAACACAGAACTGTTAGGAAACCAAAGACTCAAGCTTAAGTGACTCTTAGCTGCAG